TAAGCACTATACCCAGATGTACAGACACTCTTTTCTTAACCTATGTATTATATAATTTTAACATTAGCTTTAATAATAATTTCAATACCAGATTCTGCATCTGGGCTATATTATGCATTTGCTGGGGGATAGGACTTTATGGTCTAATAGGTCTTTTCTGTCTCAAACTGTTAAGGTCTTGTGTATCAGAATTCTTAATATATTGATTGTGCCCTTCTTTTGCTAAAGAGAGGAAGCTCTGCTGCCAGTCTCCCTGTTATGAAATGTTTGTACTTTGATTACAAAAGTTTTTAATATTGGTAACTGTAGTAAAATATGGAGACGCTTTATAAAAATAATGTACAGTTAACTCTACACTAAGGATGATCTGACTACTAAAACATTTTTTAATTTTATTTTAGGATTACGATCCTCCCAGTGAAGGACAGGTCATGAGAAGACCCCATAGGGGATACCACAGAGATCCGGTTCTCTCTCTTTTTGCTAAACTAAATCAGGCACCAGTTGCTTTACAAGAAGTAATTTACCACTCTGAGGTATCTTATTTCCTTTTCATTGCTATTTGGAATTAAAGCAAAAATACTAGACATTCTGAAATGATATTTTATGATACAAAGAAGGTAAAAAATCTGAAGTTTCTTTTGCTTATGGAAAAAATAAAAGTTTTATCCAACCTCTTGCCCCAGAAGGAAATTCTTCTGTGGAGAATGCTGGTTCTACTCCAGGCTTCTAAGTACTTAAAATTCTCTTCCATTTATAATCAATTTTTTTGCTGTACGTAACATCATATATACCAGTCTCCACTATGTGAACATTTAGAAGTATTCCAGAAATGTCTGGCCATGCTTTGTCTGGCCATTTTGAAAGGGCAAGAAGTTTATGGCAGTCACGTGTCAGTCTTTCAGGTTGCAGTCTTCTTTACAGCATAGGTAGTGTACATGTATGTTAAAGAATATTGTATTTAAACAGTATTACATAGTTTGAAAGAGAGCTGTTGTGATTCATTGAATGTGTTTCTCTGTTTTCTCTAGGATTCTGATAATAGTGTTGGAGAACTTAGTGAAGGCCAAAGACCTAGACTGACTAGAGCAGCAGAAAGTATTCTAATGGGACATTCAGTTTATACAGACCAGGTGACTGGCCTGGTTACTGAACAGAGACCCCACCGTGTACCATCACCAGGAGAGTGTGACAGGGTTACAGGTATAAGCTAGAACATGATCTTTCCTCAGTATTGTCTACTGGAGACCATGATGGGATGGAAAATGTATCTGAATGTAGTGCGGACAGACTGGAACTGTGTTGAGCACATTTTTTGGAACATGGTGTTGAACACCACCTGGTATGATGAAGGGTCTTGCATACTGTCTCTGCTAGGTGTTGAAAACTGCCTTTTCCCACATTAGTGGCTAAAACATTTTCAAACCTATTGAAGGGAGGAGTGTTCTTGATATTTGTTGCCAATAGTTGGTCATTTTTCTAGTTAAGCTGCACTTGCTGTTCCCCCCACATCTACTGGGAGAAAATAAGCCCATATTCTCCTCTCTGAAACCTTTCATAGGAGGAGGGGTTAGATGGAAGGAAGTTAGTGATCTAGTTGTTCCTTATGAATTGTTATAAGTCTGTTTTCCATTTATGCTGGCAATGGCCTTAACTGATTCCATCAGGCTTCCAGTTTTTCCATCTCCAGTAACTAAAAACCAAGGCACCTCTCTTTACCTCAATCTGGATTGTGTCTTTCCCAGTTTAGCAGGGTGGAGTTTGAATGTTTTGGCATGTCTCAAGCAGCATCTTCAATCTTGTTGGTGACATGTGGCATTCACTAAAGGATTATGCAGTATTAAATAGAATAGTGCCAAATAGTCCTTTACTTACACAAAACCTAGTTGTCATGTGTCTTCTGTTCTTTAAGGGTGAATTTAATTACCATAAGTGCTAGATTAACAAACAGTCCTTGAAGCTAAAGTCCATAAAACCGGTATAGTACTGGCAGTGCGAGCTTTTACATGCTGCTTGCCCCCTCTCTCTTTCTGATACTTGTATTGCCCCCATCACCATCGTACCTGAGCACCTTGCAGTCTTTAATGTATTGTATCCTCAAATATTCCTGTGAGATAGTGCTGTTCTGTCATTCCCAGATGTTTTGCAGATGTGGAGCTGAGGATCAGAGCCAAAGGGGCTTGCCCAAGGTCATGCAGGAAGTGTGGCAGAGCCGGGAATTGAGCCCAAATCTCTGTAGTCCCAAACTAGCACCCTAGCCACTGGCCCATCCTTTTTCACCTTGGCTCTACTTAAGCTTGCACAGGTTTAACTAAAGTTGCATTTTTTTAAACTGATTTAAACTGCGGCAAGTTTGCGCATAGACATTCCTATTTCAGTCAAGTCTGGTTTATTTTGGTTTGGCTTAAAACCAAATTAGGCTAAACTGACATTCTGAAACCAAAATACGAGTGTCTACACACAACCTTGCACTGATTCAGCTAAATCAGTGTAGTTATACTAGTGCAAGCTTGGGTGTAGACAAGACAAGTAGCTCTAGAGATGAGAAGGTAATTCAGTTTACATGTTGATTTAAACTTTGACACCTCTGATGAGACTGTCAGGAGAGGAGCAACTGTTGCTTTTTGGGATCATGACTTTGTATTGTGGACATTTGTCCAATAGGAAATGGACAGAGATGCCAACTCAGTTCACACATTTCATGTAATCACTATCAGCTAAGAGCTTTTGGTCATTGTTGACTTGGACCAGATTTGAATTGGTGTTCTCTAGGATAAATTGATCCTTTAAGGCAGCCATTTTGTTTTCTGTCTCTGAATCACTGCTATTTCTGCTACGTCATTTTTGATTAAAGTGGACCCCATTACAAATGGGGATGTACTATTGTTTTAGATAATATTTCCAGTGTTATTTTTACATCTCTTTAATACATTGTAACTTTCTGTTTGCATTTTGACCGCCACTGAACATTGAGCAAAGCTATTCAGAGAGCATTGCTAAGAAAATAACCTTCTAGGAAAGCTGGGGCCTACTTACTTCTGACTTAAACAGTATTTTAGTACTAAGGAGGAATAAAAGATCTTGTTTCCTAATAGCTTTGGCAGTGCAACCAAAGACGGCACAGAAACTGTTCAAGTTAAAATAATCTCTTCCAGGAAAAAAATGAAACTATTGATGATCACCTTTGAATTGTTGCCATTTATCAGCTAATTCCTCAGTATACCTAATGTGTTGTGTGAGTGGATCCATCCATCAGTCTGTCAACAGCTAGGGTTAAGTGCCATTTTTCTTACAGTCTCAGTGCCTCTGGTGTAGTCTACAAGAGTTATATTTAACAGTAAAACTAAATAACCATTACATCACCTGGCTATAAAGGGTCATATATTTCCATGCGTAACTCTACATGTGCATACTGAAAGATGTGAATTGTCAGTCATATCCTCTTACAATAGGTATTGAACTTGTACATCAAGTGCATGAGTCACTCGCTTGTTATTGATATATCTTAGATTACTGTAGACCATAGAAATATATCTTCAGTCTTGTGACCTGATTTTATTCGTATAATAGAAACTTGATGTCTATTCCAAGAGCTTAGAAATTATAGTGTTGCCTACTTGACTCACCGTAAAATAGTTAAAGGTCTATCAGCATTTCCATTATATATCTCTGTATTCAGTGCTTAATAATTTGGCTATAAAAATTAGCCACAGGCTGAAATATGTCATACAAAGTCTCAGCCCAAGCGCAATATTTTACACTAATTAGGTTTCAGACTAGTGTTTTAGTTTTAGTGAGATAACTGTGGTCTACAAAGTTAGTTCATGAACTGTAAGCATACTTTTCATAAAGATGCTTAATGTACATGCAGGCTGCACAAGTGTGATAAACTGTATGGACTACATAGCAAATTACTTTTTTTTTTTTTTTTTTCAATTACTGTTCATAGGTTTCTATTCATTCACACAGTAAAATGAAACACTTTAATGAAGAAGCCTTTCCAATCTCTCATTCCATTAAGAGGAATAAAGCTCATTAAGTACATAGTGACATGATGAACTGTAACCACTCAGGAGCCAGCATTAAGGTCTACCCAAGTTAGAAATCTACAGATCATAAAACTGTTTCCCTCACTTCCATTGAGATTTTTTCTTTCTCCTTTCATCAAGGAAAATTAAAAGGGTATTGTTAATTAGCTTCTGCCTAAAATGTCACCAGCTTTAAAATTATTTTATACTGATGGAAAGCCTGGGGAGTTCTAAATACCAATTTAAAAAACCTCACATTGAACAACTTAAAAAAAACCCTCATTACCCCACCATGCTGTACAGAGAGCTCTGCTGTTGGTACATACACAAAGAAATAAAAAGAGCCACCACCTTGTTAATCTGAGCTCTACTGAAAACATGAGTGGGTAGAGAGAGAATCATTCACTTCATTATGGAATGTCTCATTGATGAGCCTAGGTACAAACATGAGGTAGTTGGGAGACTGTGGATCTAATTTGGATTTACCAGGGATTCTTTTTCCCCATTAAGGTTTGTTTATGTTTTATAATCTCAGCAGAACTTCTTGGAGATGCTGCAGATGTTAGTCATGGTCCAATGAGCATGGCTGAATTGGAGTCTCAGCCACTCTTAAACCCTGCTCCTCAAACAGCACAAGCAAATGACAGACTAACATCTCTATCAGAAGATTTTCCAGAGGTAAAGTATGCATAGCATTTGTGCATTGCTTGTAAATGGTTAGGAACTCTGTTGCTGTTCAAAGCAGCTAGATAAAAAGAGCAAGTGCAGGAGGAAAATTTACCTTTTAAATTGATGTGGCAGGCAAAGTTACAGTGCAGGAGACTCTTCTAGACCACAGGTCAGCCAAGGAGACCTCATCCTCCTGCAGTGATATGTTGGCCCACCCTGTGCTAAACCCGTGGTAGCCTAGTACTCAGATAAGGTGATGGATACCTAAGATAGGTAGATAGTATCTTAGAGCTTGTACTAACTAGTTGGCTCCAGAACCCCCAGTAAGTGTTTCTTCTCTGAGCTCATCAGTCACTGCAAATGGGTTTCTCGAGGGACAGGGACTAACTTTGTATCTTGTACGACATTGAGCACTTCGCAAACAATATCTGTGGGGGTCCACCTGAAGTGGATGTCTTAGCTCTAAGCAATAAAGCAGGGATTTTACAAGAACAAGTTACTCCTTACCTTTCCTTCTTTTAGTCTTGGGGGCAAGATATCGCTACTGCTTTTCCTCCGTGTCCTCTGGACAGACTCTCTGCTGACTAAAGTGTATGAGCCTGAGCTGCAGCCAAAATCAAGGAAATTCTATTATTATTTTATAGTTATAGTGCAGTAGCATCCAAAGGCCCCAAGCAGAATTGGGCCTCAAATACATATGAAGACATGGCCCCGTGAATGCTTTTATTCAACTATTACATGAACAATGTAATTGATAAACTGGATTTAGCATTTTTCTCAGCTAATTCTTAAACTCTGTATGTTTTCAGGTTTCTTTGCAATCTACTTCCTACCGTGCTCTGCATTTCTTATGGACAGTCCGTTTATCTAACAGGATGGCTCTGTGCCACAGTCCCTGCCCCAAAGAGCTTACAATAAAAATAGATGAACAACATATGAAGGGCATTGGTAGAGGGGATGTAACTTTGTATATACTTTGCATTTTTTGTTATAAGAGTGAACTATCCTGATCTGTCTGTCCTTCAGCCTAGTCATTAACTGATTTATCTAAGTGTTGTGGCAGAGATGGGCCTTGAGGAGGATTCCAGGAAGTAGTCTTAAAGACTACTTCAGTCTATACCGGGTTTTCAATTTAGAGGAAGCAGCTGAATTTTTTTTCCTCCAAGACCCTTCAATTCCTGTAAACAGGAGAAAGAGGAAGTTCTTGGTTGCAGAGGAATGAGTCAAAGGAACCCCTGACAAGTTGTTCCTGTCACATCCTTTGATTAAAAATTGAGGGCCCCCGTGTCTTCAGCTGTAAATGGTGCCTGCTCATCTCTACTGACTACATGGGAATCACATCAGAGAACAGCTTGCCATGCTGTTTGTTGTCAAAGAAAATAAATGGTTACAAAAGGCAAATTAGGGTTGAATTCTTTGAAAATTGAAATGGAGACCAAGAAGTTATGAATCTTTTCGCAATTCTGAGTGCTAAGTAAATAGTTCTTAAAACTGCATTTGTTTTTATTGTATTTTTAATAAAAATCAGAATTATAACATGGTTTTAATAACTGATATACAGAAGCAGAGCCAAAAGGTTGTGCAAGTTGAACCAGTACGATCCCGAGTCATTCGTGTGAGAAATAAATCTGAAGTAACACAGCAGCAAGGTAAATCCATGTCTTTAAGCATCTATTCTGATATTAAAGTACAGGCACTGAAATCTACCACTCTGTTTTGCTCTTCATACACTTTTACTGTACATTTCTATATTTGATACCTATTTTTATCACAACTGAGTCCAAACAGTATCCAGATGTCTATATACATATATAGGTCTCTGCGTACACAGTACTGATCCAGTTTGGATGAGCAAGGTATTGTTGGAATCACTTAGTTCTATAGATAAAAAATCAGAACTCTTTGGATCAAATATTTATTTCTTACTTTAATGTTTCTTAGCCCATAGCTTTACAATATGCAAATGGTTTTAGTTTACTGAACTGTGTTAGTCCCAGTCGCCACCAAAAATATTGTTGTTATAACAGCAGAGCATATGCTGTTGCTCAAGAGAGGATGAAGCAAACTTAAGGTCAGGGGAAGATGAAGAGAACAGAGCAGTACCAGTTATGCCTGTTCTGAGATAGTGCCAGCTAATATATAATACAGAATTATTCTTACCCAATATAAAGTGCTATATCATCTATGGATAAATGTGCTATAGAAGAGATCATTTTGATTATGATTGATAAAAGTATTATGTAGATGTATTTCAGATATACTATGGGTCAACCTGATATTTAGCTAACATGCTATGGGCAGATTATTGCTATATTTTTACTGAGACAAATAATTAAATGTGTTTTACAACTGGATTAGACATAAAAATAAGGCAAAACCAAAAATTAAATGCAAACACTTTTGTACATGCAAGTCTTAAGGGTTCGCAGTTAAATTTGACATCCATGTTGGGTTTTTTTAAATTTAACTTTGCTGTAGCAATGTTAATTAAGACACGTAGCAATTATAATAATTGAAGATACTCTTACGTACAATATGTCCGAAGTTAACGTTGCTGTAGGTACCTTAATTTCTGCATTTATTATTTTTAAAATTTTAACTGAAATCTCAACACTGTATTAACAAATACCTTTTGCATTTAATATTTACAAATGTGTAATCAAGTTATGCAACTTACTAAGATATTTGCCTTAATAATTTATTTACAGAAGTTTGAAACTGCCTCTGTAAATCATCCTCTTTGAAGAGCCCTGTGCCTACAATTAACCTCCTTATACTCATAGGACTTGGGGGTTAAATCCATAACAGTGGGCTTAAAAAAATAGTTATGAATGATCTAAAAGATTGCTACTGTGCATACATGATAGGAAAGCTCATTAAATCTGAGTGTTTGTGCTTTTGAGAAATGTGCTGTGCATGTGAGCATTGTGTCCTAAGTGTACATTTAGCAAAGTATGCGTTGGCGGTTTAAGCACACATTCTACTTTAAGTCAGCTAACTCGGGACTTTTTTAGCCCTTTCCATTTAAAAAATGCAGAAAACTAAAGGACTAAAACCCATTTGGAATCTAGAGAAGGACGGTATAACTAGTGTATTTTTCCCAAAACTCAAAATGTCTTAAGGATTTTGCTCACATTTAAAATAAATAAATAAATAAAAATCGCCTTTTGACCAGAGACCAAATGGAAAGTCTCAATGTGAGAGTCTCAGAATGTGAATTTTGCAATAAGTTATGGATGAGCACATAAAAATGGAGGAGGGGAGTTGTCTGGCATCCTTTCTCCTCCAAGCCCCTCCCTGCAACCAGAGCCACCCGGTCTTTCTGCTCTCATGTCCCCAAATCAGACAACAGGCCTATTGCTCCTCTAGCAGTGGTAGGAGTCTCTTCAAATTGAGCCCTTAGGAGAGGGAGCAGAAGGAAGGGACACTTCTGTTAACACACACACAGTGTCACGGTGTTTTTTTGTGTTTCTGCTTCTGCTCCAAATATTAGCAAAGTAGCATCCTCAGCCCTTGCTTTCCCCCAGGAAGTTGATGAAGGCTGGAAATGGGAAATACAGTTTTTAAAGTCCTAATTTTTTCTTTTAAAATTCAAAATAAAATATTTTGCTCTGTGAAATCTTTTTTTTTTTTTTAATTTAGTTGGACAGAACAAAGGGCATGCCCCCGCACCAGTATATCTGTGTTCCTATCTGTACGTTTGACCACAAGATGGCAGAAGTCAGTTTTCTTTAGGAAGAAAAAAGGTTATTCACCAGTATAATTTAAATATTATTCTGTGTATGCATGTTTAATAATCCAATAAAAATCAAAAGGGGTTACAAACTTAAACTGTTTGTCACCTTAAAGCCGAAGCTTTGTCGACATCAGCTTTATGGTACCGAACCATCATATTCAATGCAGAAGTTAAGTACAAAGGATCCAAATTGGCGCAAATCTTTGGAAAGGGGAAATGAAGACCTGGAAAGCTATAAACATATATGGGTTTAAATAAATACAGCATTTAAAAACCAAGCACAGCTGTTCCTTTATAGGTGAACACATCCTGCTTATTAAATGTCAGTGTTAAGTGAATGCCTTTGCCAGAATTAGGAGGAACAATGATTTTTTGCATAAACATGTAGGAACGTTGCAGTTATTTTTGTATACCTTCTAGGAAGAGTGGGTGGGTTTTTAGCAGAACTCAGGAAAATCATAGCCCTGAAGCAGCTGAGGTTGGCTGGGAGAAGAAAGAAAACAGTTTGGACTTAAATTTGTTAATGAAAAGCTTTTTGTTTTATTTAATAGATAGACACAAGAGAGATTAGATTCTTCTTTGGAATTTTATAATAAATGTATTTCTAATATAGCCTTCTTTTGTTGTTTAAGAATCTTTTGCAGTCCACATGGAACATGTGTTTTCTTTAGCTAGAGAAACTATGTAAAAATTGATAGGTTTCTTCTAATGAAAGTTGAAGTTCAGTAGGGCTATTACAAATCTACAAAGTCAAGTCTGAAAGAATGATGCCTCCTGGAAGTTAATAGCTGAAAATAAAGCTTGAATGTATCATTAATTTGAAATATGGACGTTCTCTAGACATTATGGAGACAGTGGTTGAAAAAATACACACGCTGTATATATATATATCCGTTAATCTTTCTACCATTCTCTACAGATGTTTCCATAAATGTAATATGTTAATATATATTTTCACAAGCCACAACAATTGCTTCCAGAATACAAGAATTTTTAAGGCTTCCTTTAACAGAACCCTGAATTCTTAAATTGAATTAAATCCCGAAACAGGTGTCATGCTTGGATGTAATTCTTTTAATCTTTATCACTTACAGCTGAAGAACAAGAGTTAGATGCATCAGCATTTTAAATATTTTCCATAGCAGAAGTTCTCAAAATGTGGCCCACAAACCACGTTTTGGTGGTCAGTGGAGGACTTTTCTCATGGTAGTAACTCCTCCTCCTCCTCCCTATTTCCAGCTAGTAAATTGTATTCATAGCTATAAATACATGGAAAAATTGTGAGTATGTAATTGCTGTGATTTCCACATGGATGTTGTGCACTTTTAAATGGGAACAGGTGGTCTGTGCAGTGGTGAATGGGAGGATAAGTGGTCCTCAAGACAGTCTATGAATTGCTTACATAACCCCTGTTCCACAATGAGTGTGGGATCTTTCTTTCCTCAGGCTTGCATTTCATAATATTTCACAAAATTTATTTCTGTATTGACTATGATGAATGTAACTTAGTTTTGTTACTTTACTGTCATCTCTTCATTAGCCAGAAATTCCTCTGAGTTAGTTTTTCCAAGAACTACTGTGGTATATGGCAAATCCCTAACATAAATTAGTAGGAAGGGAGATTAGGATAAAGGCTAGAATTATTCCTTTTTTATTTTCCTTGGATATGGAACTGCTTTGGTCAAACTCTGTACAACTATTTATCTGAAAGTTTAGATTTTCTTTAATGTCCTTCTCGTTCTTTTTTGGGCTGGATTTCACTGGAGACTTTCACTAAAGATTTCTATAGTCACCCTGAAAAATAGTCCAGTGAAGCAGGACAGGGTTGTTCTTTCACGCTTTAGAAGTAAGACTAAGAAAACTTTTATTTCTACCTGACAACATGGGCTATCAGAATAGTTCAATAACCCACACTACATTTTCAGTTTCTTGATCTATTTGCTGAGACACAACACTGGAAGTTGAAGTCCTGAAATTGACCAGCTATAATTAAGGCAGTTTGTAGCCAATTTTATTTCAAGTAGAACTTCACATAATTTTTCTTGTTTATCCCTGCTCTGTTCTGTTCTATTTAAGTTCTTATACTGCGCCCATCACAGTGATATCAGGATGCTAATCAGCAATATACAGCTAATATTTCTCCAACTTGTGATCTCCTTCACAGATCACATATTATGGTAGAGATTTTAAATGTACATAAGTCAGGAAACACAAAGCTGATTCCCAAAGCAACTATAATAAAACTCTGCCCCTTTGCCCACCGGTAGTCATTTGTTTAACACTAGGTGGTGTAAAAGCATAAAAGTTACTATGTGGTTGAGTTACAGTTGCTTTGGGAACAATAACTTTGAATTTCCTGACTTTTGTACATTTAAAATGTCAGTCATAGCATGGCATTAACATTGTTTTATTCCATTCAGTTGCTTGGCTTACTTTTCAGGCATGAGAATAACTTGTGCTCCCTCACATATTAATTTGAATGTGGAATAACTGAAATACACACTGATGTGTATTCTACTGATAGGAAGTGGGAGGAAAAGGATGAGCAGCAGTGACTGCAGGGGGCAGGTAAGGCCTTGCAGGTCCCTCCTCGGGGCCCCAGCTTGGGAAAGATGCTCCCACCAACTGTCATCCCCCTCCCACAGGAGATTAAGCAGCAGGCACTGCCAGTGACTGCAAGGAGCATGTGAGGTCATTTGGGTTTCCATCCTAGGGAGTCCCACTACTTTCAGACACTTCCACGTGGGCAAATCGCCCTTGTGTGACACCTTGTATAATCATTTTGATGTTTTAGGAAATCTGAGTATTTTAAAAAATGAATTCCAAGTCATCCAATGTTGAATTTAAAAAAACAAAACAAAAAAACACTTATTCAAATGCGAAGGAAGCATCTGAAAAAATATGAGCAATAGA